AAAATCTAGACATGATGGAGCCAAACGGACTTCAGATTCGGGTTCAGCGACCCCAAAACATATAACAGACTAGAATTGGTCAAAGGAACCTTTCATAGATTTTTTTTTGTGGACCTGTGTTATCAAGTGAAAAACTAAAGCTATATACAGAGGAAAAATTTCAAGAAAAAGTAAATAAAGTCTTCAATGAAAATAAAACGCGACGTTAATCAAGTGTTAGACACTTAATTTTAATTTTGGATTGTTATTTAAATGCCATTTAACTTTCGTTGGGTATCAGATCAACTTTATTTAAATAAGCCAAACCAGTGGCGACACTATTGCTTGCTCCTTGAAATTGTTGTTGCATTTGTTTGTTTGCTTATATTTTGTACTGAACAGCTGATTGTTCTTTGGCAAGATTGATAAAACAACCCATCTATCAACCTTAGTTCTTTGGTTAAAACACAGGGTTGCATATCTCATATTAAATTAGCCAATCACATTATTTATATGGCATCAAACACGGTATCGAATAAACTCGTGTCAATACGAATCAAAAATTTTTTCACAAAATCCTGGTTGATCTGTCAAGCAGTCACTTTACGCACCAATTTGCACCTTTTCACAAAGGGGGTGTTCCCATTAAAGCCTCGTAAGCTCACTAGTTTTACACAGTTTAAGACATTACGAGTTTAGGTGAATTCCCTAAGAGTTTTTTTAACTGGGCGTTTGACAGCAAACCTTTTAGTTTGTAAAATGTCGCCAAAAGCCAGAAAAAATTTGAGAATCTGCATACAATAAAATGGTCGCCTCTAAACTTGTATTTTCCACCAAAATAAGAGATGTTGGTTCTCTGAAAAATTCTGAGAAATTAGAAAATACATAGCTGTTAAACAACAAAAATTACAATTGAAAGCAAGTGAGAGCTCGGAAACCGCTCGGTATGCGAGAAAAAGTATGCATCTTACTTTTTGTGGTCTGCATGCTTCGTCACGCGAGCGAGATTTTCAAGCATGTGAAGACGGGCTGTTAAGCATTGATAACACTCGATGTATTGAAGAATAAATATCGATTTTTTTCTGCATTCGATACATGGATGCAACACCCAAGGTAACTTAGGGTTTAGATCGGTCAATTCTGACATGACAATAGCAATACATGCAAATTTATTCTCTAATACATGCACACTTTTCCATTGGAACAATTTTGACAACTAATACGTATATCTTCATTGTCTTGACAGCATTGTCCAATGTAAATGCGCCGTAATTGCCAGCGAAAATCGCCTGAAGGCGCCAAAGTCGACAAAATGCATAGTATACACGCTCCAATTGCTTCACCAAAGGTTTGCAACGTTTACTCGGCCAATTGTTCGAGTGGAAGTGTGAAGTGGAATAATGTTCAGTACAGGCGTTTTAACGCGATGTAAAAGTCACTGACTAACTCTATTATTCTTCGCGCTGTAAACATTAGCGGGTAATACTAAAGGTATGGGCAAATAGCTCTGTTATTGAA